CATCAACTACATTCTTCTAAATTTAAATCATTCAAGACAAAATAAAAATATTCAAAAATGTTCAATTAACTATTTTCTACATAATTTCAGAATTTCCCAAAAGTATGTTTTAAGCATTTCATTTAATATATGAAAATAGTGCTATTATTTTTTAGAAAATTAGGAGTAAAAATCAAAATGAAAACAGCAATAATCACAGTAGTTATATACTTCTAGTAATTTTAAATATAATAATTTATTATATTTTATGAACAAATTTTAATTGTGTCTTTAGTACACAGACAAACGTTCTGTCCTTTGACATGGTAACATAACATCCTTTCACAAACACTAAGGAATAAGATTATTAGTTTAAAACCATATTGCTCTGCAATTGTCAGATACCTGAAAGCATTGATGTTGGTCATAAAAGCCATTTATCTATTTGTTTGTCTATTTATATGTATACCTGTCTTTTTTTTTTTTAATATACAGATTGGCACTTCGATAAAATTGAGGCAAATTGAATTAGTTAATGGGTAGCACCAAATTTGTTTAGCTGTCTCATCCTTTTGCTTCTTTGAACCTAAAACAAAGACAGGCACATCTGCTAAGTTCAATAGGTACAATAATGATCTAAAGCATGAGAAAAATGCTAATATTTTTATCATAGACAGAATAGATTCATATATTTTTCTTGTTATTATTTATGGGAAAAAAGACTTATAAAAGTCCGTGTTTAAGATTTTCCTTCTACTTATGTAACTGAATTGGAAAACGGGGGAAGAGCATTTAATTCATTCAAGTTTCCCTTGTGAGGTTAAAAAGAAAATTGATTGTGGTTTATTAGTCCTTTCCAATAAGCAGTCAAAAGTTCAGCTAACTGAAAGCAATTGATACTAGTAGAATCAATGGTGCAGTAGAATACCCTAATGGGTACTGTTGGAACTTTTAATTCTTATTATGCAGTTTATTCTTTCAAGGGTTATTTGATGGAGGTTTTGTTGATGAGTATCTTTAAAGCTTTGCTTCTTAAATAATTGGTTTATTGAACAGCTCTGCCCTATTTCAAGTCAATTTACAGATATATGCATTGTGATTGATGCAAACATATAAGCATATAAAAAATGAAAAATTTACATAGCCTGCATAGTATTCATATTCCTTCCATTCCTTTCTAATTGATGGAATGCATCCAAGCCCCAATGATGTTGTTTCATTAAAAGTAATTGTAATTAAAAATTCCAGGAGGCTAACTTGTGATTGAATCAGTCAATGAGTTGCTTATGTGTCATGTAAGATTAAATCTGAACTGTATTTCACAGTATCTTTCCTTTTTGCATTTTTACTGCCAGTTTGTAAATATAAATTAGAAAATATTATCTTTCATGATTCATAAATGCACACCTAAACCTGGTCTTTTGTTTGAAAAAGACTATAATTTTTGCAAAGGGAGCTACAGGAGGGGAAAATATCCCTGGACCTTCTGTATCAGAGCATGCAAGGACTAAATTAAAGGAGTAGCCATCTGTTTGCAATAATTACAGGAGGGAAGGGGAAAGGCCAGTATGAATTTGCTGCTTTAAACTAAATAATCCTCCCCTTCTCCTCTTTCCTATTTTTTTCTTTGATTGTTCCTTTTTGCTTTTCTACCTCAACTAGGCTAGCAAAAGAAATATCTTCTTGCCTTAGTCTACTTCCAAGAATTTTGTGTTCACTAAGTAATTGCTGGTGCACACATGTCGCCTGTCTCCTTGGACTAATAATGCTTAACTAGTTTAAACACCCCTTTGCAATTAGCTTAAATTATTTATTTCTCATCCACATATTTCTAGTAAATATGTGTCTATGCACACACATCCATATACATATACACACTGACACATATATGCATTCATTGCCTTAAGATAATCCATTAACCTAAGTAAACATATCTGAACATATCTTTGTAAAGAAAATATGTATTGAAAATTATAAGTTTCAACTTACTTTTACTTATAACTATAGTAAAATCAATAGAAGTTAGAAAATCCTTTACGAAGACCCAAAGATATGCATAATTTATTCTGTCAATATATTTTATGTAAAAGATATACATATTTATATAGTTTTTCAAATAAATATTAGAAACATTATCATTTTACCAAATTGACCCCAGCAATTTAATCTAGTGTATTCTTAGTATCCTTCCATCAATTCAAAGGTAATCGGAGAATATCAGTATAAAACTACAGGTATCATTTGAAGAAGACTAAAACGCTTGCAATTTTTTAAAGACGTCTCTCCCTCAGATTTCTTTCCATGCAAAATATGAAGTCTGTTGTGCCTGTTCTTACATGATGCCAAATATTTTAGTTCACATTTCACAAGTAATATGGCAAAGTAAAAAGAAACTCAGACGAGAAATCAGAAGATAGGGGCTTCCATGTAAGAGCTGCTGGCCATCCTGCTCAAATTTGGGCTACTCACGCAACCACTGATAAACTGAAAGTACTTGAATACTGAGAGTGATAGATGGCACGGCTTGGGTCTCTGTCCCTGCCCAAATCACATTCAAATTTTAATCCCCAGTGTTGGAAGTGGGGCCGGTTGGGAGGTGATTGGATCATAAAGGCAGATTTCTTATTCATGGTTTAACAGCATCCCCTTGGCACTGTCTTCGTTTTTGTGAGTTCTTGTGACATCTGTCTTTCAAAGTGTATAACACCTTTCTACTTTTTGTTCCTGCTTCTGCCATGTGAGATGATTCTCTCACAATGATTGGAAGCTTCCTGAGGCCTTCCTAGAAGCAAAGCCACTATGCCTTCTTTGCAGGCTGCAGAGCCATGCACCAATGAAAACTTTTGCTTTATACATTACCCAGTTTCAGGTTATTTCTTTATAGCAGTGTGAGAATGCACTAATACAACAGATTTCCTGTGAAAATCAAATAAAATCATATATATTAAAGCACCCTGAAAACTTTTAATTCATACTAAATGTTATCATCTTGTGTTTAATATTACCAATAATTTATAGGGAAATGTAAGAACCTTGACATTGCTGCAGTGTGAATTTTGGCCAGCATTAAAGCAAAACACAACTTTTAATGTATATGAAGTTGAGATACTGTCCCTCTTTGGCCACAGTTTTCTTTGCTAAAAATTTAAAATGTGATTCAGATGCCAATATGTTGTAAGTACAATTTATGTTGTGTAAATGGGGAAGAACATAAAATGTCGTCTTTCTGAGAAATATTTGAATATGTCCAATAATTAAAATAAACATGTCTAATGTGTTAAAGCAAGCTCAATGTTTAGCAAGCAAGACATTTGTTAATTATCACAGCTAGCAATTACTGAGTGGTCATCACATGAAGGCATTCATAACATTAGACATGTTGAAATCAGTCTTCAAAAATTGCTTACCAAAAATAATTATATAAAACCATCATTATGATGTTTATTTACATATAATTCTCTCATTTAATCTTCACCTTATACTATTGAAGTATATTGTATCATTATATATTTTGTATTAATCCAATGAACTTGATAATTTTAACCCATTTTAATTATTATAAGACTACTACTTAAAGAGCTTGTTACTTTCCTAAGGTTGTAAGGGAAAAATGTGATTAGAGTGTAGGAATCTGTGATACAAAAGCCTCTAATCACTTCTAGAACTAACGCAATGAAAACTCATCACACGCAAATAAATAACAGATGTAAAGATAAACCTGAGACAGAACCTAGGTGGTTTCCGGAAATATCACATTATGTCCTGTGACCTACATGTGGCAGGTATCAGTTATCTAGGAAAGCATTTTGAGAGGGTGGAGTGAAATAAATATATATTATTTTTAAATTTTTCTATTACTCTAGTCTTCAAAAATAGCAATCAGAGAGATGATTAACGTTAGACATATTGAAATAGATCTTTAAAAATTCTTTACTAAAAGTAATATACAATGTATGATATGAAAAAGGAAGTCTAGTATTTTGTTGGTAAACTTTTTCTCAAAATACTTGAAAGAGTATATAATTGTTTTACACGCAGCTTCCCAACAATATTTATATTCATAGAAAAAATAGAAATAATATAAAAGTAAAGTTTCAACATTTTTGCCACATCTCAAATAACATTCTGCACTTTATCCAGTTTTAAATTCCCTGAGATTTCATTCCAGATGCTACTACAGTACAAGAGAGACTTTGCTCCCAATTCTTTTTTTTTCTTTTAATATGGTCAGCAGCCAGCTTATCTAGGGAGGCTATCTACTCTTGACCCACAGACTATATCTTTAGTCGATATCTGGCATCCATGGAATTCTGAAAACTGGTCCAGAGAGTCTACTGTGGAATAGCATTTGGTAGGAGAAAAATGATGTGATTTAGATAATAAATAACCCTAGAGGATTCTCTAGGTCAACATTGAGAGTCTGGTGAATATGGGAAATTTCCTGAAACCATGCCTACTCTTCTAAGTACTTTACACCTTCTGAGGTGTTCCTGTCCACGGTATCAATGGGGCTTGTGGTTAATGGAGGTCACTGGTTGGTGTAAGGGTTATACACAACAGTTAGTTCAAGAAAATAGAAAATTCAAGAAGAGAAATATGTAAGAGGCAATAATGGACTGAATCTTCTTTAACCTCATCTCTACATCTGGCTTCCTTTGCGCTGGTTATTAGCAACTTCCCACAGTTCTTATTTATCTGGAAATTTCTTTATTTTTTTCTTCAGTTTTGAAAGGTAGATTTGATGAACATGAGATTATTGATGGACTTCTTTTGTTGTTTGTGTCAGCATTTTCAATGTAGTAGCCCGCTGCACTCTGGCCTCCTTTGTTTTTCGTGAGAAGTCAGTTGTTAGCCTTGTAGTTCTCTTGTACACAGTGAGTCATTTGACTCTTGTTTCTTTGAAAAATTTCTTTGTCTTTGGCATACACCAATTTTACTATGACATTCTGAGTATTAACCTTGAGTTTATTCTACCTTAATTTCATGGAGCCCTTTGAGTATATTTACAATATAACATTTACTCTAATGTTTCTCAGCAAATTTGGAAAGTTTTCAAACATTATTTGTTTGGCCCTGTTTCTTTATGTTTCTTTTCTTTTTTTTTCTGGTAATCCTTTCATTTGTATATTAATGTACTTAATGGTATTCCATATTTGCTTCAGGTGCTGTTTATTTATTTTTTATTCATTTTTACAGTTTTTTAGATTGCAAAATTTTGTTGATCTATAATTAAGTTTGCTGATTTTTTTAACTTTTCACTTCAAATCAATCATTAATTCCTCCAGTGCAGTTATTGTTTCAGTCATTGTATTTTGGAACTCCAGAATTTCCCTTGGGTTACTTTTTCTATTAATACCTTAGCTTTCTTTCTGTCCTTTGAACATTGCAGGCGTACTCCTGCCTGAGGGCCTTTGTGCTTGCTTTTCTTTCTAAGACTCCTTTATCTCAGAAATACGTGTTGCTTGCTTTCATACTTTTAGGTGTTTTCCAAGTATCATATTGACCATTTTATTTCAAATATATCCAATATTATTCCTGTGCTTTCTATGTTTTTTATCCTGTCTTAATTCTTTCATATATTACCATGTTATACACTATGCACTCTCCCAATGTCTTTGTCTGTTATCCTACTTCCTCCGCCAGACTCTAAACTTCCTTATGGCAGGAATTTTTCTCTGTTTTGCTTGCTTCTATATCTTTACCACCACAAACACTACTTGGAACGTCTTAGGATTTTATAAATATTTTTGAAGTAATAATATAACCTCTCTAAATATAAGGAACATTTGAGTAGATCACTATTTTCCTTTTTGAAACGAAAATATTTAATAAACTGACTCTTTTATTACAAAGAGAAGTGAAACATTATATTCTGAGCTATTTCTTCCTTCTTGGTCTTCTTAACTTCTACCTCTAATATAGATTTAAAAACAATAGAAAATTGTAACTATAACTAAAACCTTAGAAATATTTATAAAAATTATCAAATTATCCAACATTTAAAAATAACTTCCTAATTTTCCCCTGTTAGATACAGTTTCTTAAATGTTACCTAGATGTTTATATAAATTAAACATATATTTATATACATACATATATATTCAGGTAATAAATATACCCTTTACCAGCACTAAACTTATAGTAAATACACTTATTTCATACTTAAAACTCTGTCACAAATTATCCTCAGAAAAGTCATCTGACATCTCTGGGTTTCAAGTCATGCAGAAAATATAGAAAAAGCAAATAATAAATGTATGATATTTTCAAGTCCAGGATGCTTTCAGTCTATTGAGATGATTTATGAATGACTGTATCTTATAATTCCTTATTATTGAGCAAGAAAAAAATCTAATTTAAAGCACCATAGTTTGACATATTTTAAATAAGTATATACTGACACAGAGATTAAAGGCTTCTGGGTTTCTGTTCTTGTTTGGTTTGGTTTGATTCGCATTTTTTCAATAGAGACAGAAACCTAAAATAGTTTATTGATTATATTTTGAAAAGGCTTTCCAGTGTAGAATTATCTAATTGATCATTGTAAAACAGGAATTAGTAACAGGATTTTGACCATTGTATTAAAAGTGACTCTAGTCTTTCAATTTGGTCTTAATGCATTTACCTTTCTAAATAATGCTTATAAAGCAATCGAGAGGACAAGAAGTCAGAACAAGTTTGTGAATAGAAAGGAAACAAAGACAGCAATTGAAACACATAAATACAGATAACCAGTCATGGAAAAATAAAATTATTGTTATAGTTTATGTTATGCCTGACTCACTGATCCAGATGTCAAAGAAATGCCAAATCAATAAAGGAGACTGTGTTTTCTTCTACTTTCTGAGTTCATAATGGTCATTTCTCATGCCTTATCTGAATTTTGTTGCTAATTAATAGCTCTAAAACTGTTCCATAACAAATTTCTCCATCATTTGCATATATAAGTCGATAAATTACTGAGTTAAGGATGCTGGCTTCTAAATTTGTATCAGTTGTTGAACTCAGCCTGATATTTTATAAAGAATAATGGAAGTGAGCAAATAAGTCAACTTGCCAATTTAAAATATATAAAAAATATTTTCTTATTGAATCCACAGAAAACATCCCAGTTAGCACCAGCAGAAGTGTAAGCCATATCCATACCTTGAAGACTAACGAAAAACAAGTCGTTATCTTATCAGTAATATGCTGCAGTTTTTTTTTTTTGTTTTTGTTTTTTTTTTTTTTTTTTTAGACGGAGGTTCACTCATGTTACCCAGCCTGGAGTGCAATGGCGCGACCTCGGCTCACCGCAACCTCCGCCTCCTGGGTTCAGGCAATTCTCCTGCCTCAGCCTCCTGAGTAGCTGGGATTACAGGCACGCGCCACCATGCCCAGCTAATTTTTTGTAGTTTTAGTAGAGACGGGGTTTCACCATGTTGACCAGGATGGTCTTGATCTCTTGACCTTGTGATCCACCCGCCTCGGCCTCCCAAAGTGCTGGGATTACAGGCTTGAGCCACCGCGCCCGGCCACTATGCTGCAGTTTTATATGCTGCAGTTTTATAGCTGTGGCCCAATTATGTTGCAAAACAAACCCACTCCCTACAGAGACATCTGTTGTATAGAGAGTGGTCTGGGACCTCAGCAGGCATCAGAATCACTTGGAGAGCTTATTAAAACACAGATCACTGGGCAATCCCCCAGAGTTCCTGAACAAGCAGGTCTAGTCTAAGGCCCAAGTATTTGCTTTTCGTAGAAAGTTCCCAGGTAATGCTGATGCTGCTGATCCAGGTATCAAATTTGTTTATCAACAATTTGAGTTGTGCGATTTGGAAAAGATGTTGAAGATATTAAATCAATTTCTCTAAGTCAAATTTTAGGCATCTCTAAATGTATTATTAAGTTTCAGTGAGTGCCATGTGTCAGACATTGATGTAGATGCTGGTGATATGCTGGTTAGATAATCTCCCTCAAGAGGCTCATGGTAAGAAAGACATGTGACAAGATAATCATTGTGCTGTGTTTTCCTAGGAGAATGCACAGGGGCTTTAGACTGGTGGTCTATGGAGTATCATCAAATAGCAGAGCATATCCAGGATTGAATATTTAAATGTATTACTCTGTCCTGACAGGAAGTATATTAGTACTTGAATACAGTAACTCAAGACAGAAACAATGATGATTCTTAAGACCTTTCCATTTTTCCCAGATTGCTTTGAGTTTAAAATCTAAAATGCCTTAAAATGGTGAAAAATAACTCTGAATGATTGGGCAACTACTGAGCTGCGCAAGATCACGGCACGAGATGTTTCCTTGCCCCTCATCCCCCTGCTCTTGTTTTCTTACGCATTGTTACATTTCTTCCATGCTATAGAAATCCCTAGTTTTAGTCAGTCAGGGAGATGGATTTGAGGCCGAGCTCCCTCTCCTTGGCTGCAGCACCTGATTAAAGCCTTTTTCTTCCACGATGCTCATTGTCTCAGGCATTGGCTTTCTGTGCAGGGAGCAGCAGTGCCTACACCAAATGCCTGGTCTTTTGGTAACACAAGTTACAATTTAATGATCTTTCCTACTTACATACATTAAATGAGTGAATAAACGAAAAAAAGGAAAAACAAATGCCTGAAGCCTCCTATATAACATGACTTGTGGTATCCACTGGTTCCCATTATTGGTTTTTTTCTCTTTGAGAGCATTGATTTAAACTTATCCCATTAAATACTACTTACATTTTTAAAACTTATCTTCATTTTGCTAAATTTAATTTCATTGTAACTTTTTATTATTGTTGTTGAAATATTATCTACTACATTCTACCTGTCCAGAAACGGTATCACTGGCAATTTAATGGGTATGCAATCCCTCAGAATCACTATTGATTGTATTAAACAATGAGAATGAGCTCAAAGGCGAAAAACTTATCTTTGGTGTCTAAATTCACATTTTCTTTGAGAGAAAGGCCATTGCATTCTGGATCAGTTCGGCAGGTTTATTGAGGGATACAATTTAAATTATTTATATATTTGATCTCAATTTGTGAGTTAAGTGTGGTATACATCAGATATTCACAATGTGAGCAGGGCTGTGGAGTCAATCCACAGAAAACATTATTAAATAGACCTCCACTTTTAAGAAAGAAAATGGCTATTGTGGGTGTTAGCAAATAAGAACGATTTTTCCATTTCTTCTCTTTTATTTGGCAAATAAAATAAGCAAACAAAAAATATCTAAATTTAGAAAGCTTTTCAGCATCCGTCTGTTGCAGTGATTTTAGATAAACGTCAGTCCTGTTCACACAAGGAGGGTGTTCAAGAAGAAGCTGGAGACAATGTGAAGACAAGCATGAAGGCCGTTTTGTTCCCCGATCATTCAGCTAGAGGTCCAGAGATAATATTTAGAAAAATGAGACGGAGTTTTAAAATAATCTTGATAAGTCATCTTTAAAAAAATTGATAGGTGGAGATAGTTGAGAAGAAATTTTTAAAATCCCTTGGAAAATTACTGAGTCTAGGTGGATATTTGGACAAATAGAACCAGTGACCAGAACACAACAGATGCCAATAACATTAAGACCCTGAAAGCAGGGGATGCAGCCCATGGAGCTCTGGAAGATGAAAGGTTTACTCTAATCCCTCTTCATGAAAGCAGACTTTCTACAGAGAGGAGATTTTAGTCCTGGGAGCATGAAACTTATAAAGAAAGGCTGTTATTTTCTTTTATTTTCTTCCACACCATCTTTCCCCACTGTACCCTGAAGAAAAATAAGATCTGAGAGAGTCTAGTGAGAAAATAGTAATATCCAGCATGACATAGGAAAGGAAAGTGATAAAATGAATTAATAACTCTCCTTTACATTAAACAATAACATTTTTGCAAAAGTGAGTTCCATTGTGTCCACCATTCAGTAAGTAATTAATACTCTGACTAAAATAATATGAGAGGCTGGCAAGACAGAGAATTGCTAAAACTAGAACATTCCAGCATCTATTTTTAGTAGCCTTCTGCAAACTTCATTTCCCACTGTTCTTAATATGAACTATGTTCACCAGTATGATTGTACCACTTACTGCCCCTCAAACAAAATTTGGCAGAACATCATCGGGATAATCTTAGAATTCTTACCTATTTAATAGTACTCCTTTCAAATAATTCCTTAACCTTCCAAGAAGTCTTTTGGGATCACAAATACTTTGTATTTTTTCTTTAAAATCCATGCTACTCACTGCCAGAACCAGCCACCGGGCAAGCAGAACGCAGGACTCATGTCATTCAATACCTTTCAATGTACACAGCCCACATTCCAGTGGGAAACTCTCAACCCAAACTTGATTAGCTGGTTAGCAACTTAGAGTTTAAGTAACGAGTAATAAATTATAGTCATTTTGCTTTAAATTTGATTTTAATAAATGGTTCTTTTCCTGTCTTGCTTTCCCTTCCTGCCCTAAAGAAAGGATGCAAAAGTATGCTTTCTTAACTTTTATTTATATATATTTTTACCTATAAATATATAAATGCCACCTATAAAAAGCATATTTAAATTCTTAGCTTGATGTCAATCCCCAAAAGCCTAAAGATCATTTTTAGGGGGATATTAGAACATCATCTTAGGCAGAATTTTTTTTTTTTTTTTTTTTAGTGAGACGAAGTCTCACTCTGTCGCTCAGGCTGGAGTGCAGGGGCACGATCTTGGCTCACTGCAACCTCCGCCTCCCAGGTTTAGGAAATTCTCTTGCCTCAGCCTCCTGAGTAGCTGGGATTAAAGGCATGTGCCACCATGCCCAGCTAGTTTTTGTATTTTTAGTAGAGACGAGGTTTCACCATGTTGGTCAGGCTGGTCTTGAACTCCTGACCTCCTGATCCACCCACCTCAGCCTCCCAAAGTGCTGGGATTGAAGGAGTGAGCCACTGTGCCTGGCCAGCAGAATTTATTTAAATCCATCACTTCAATATATTCCTGAGGTGATTTTCCTCTCAAAAAACATTTGCCTTAATGCACTACCTCTGCAACACTGTCATATAACATTTGACTTGATTTCTCTTCAATAGAAGTAAATGCTTGCCAAGTTTTCTAGGCCCACAATACTTATACTTCTTCACTTAATTTTAAAAATATTTTAAGTAAAGTATATAATGGCATAGCATTGGTCACATTTATGTAACCAATCCAGGCTAGTAATAAGATTTA